TCCTTGTTTTTCCTGAGTAGCACTAGCCAGGTATCCTGGGAAATGTCTCCAGAGTTAGGTTTGTGTGATGTTTTTCTCATGATAGTTCATATGATGTATAGGTTTTTGGAAAGAATACCATAGAGGTGAAGTACCCTTCTAGTCACATCAGATGAAGGTGTTTGGATGGAACTAGAGGGTATTATGCTACGTGAAATAAGTGCTATGGTGTATCTCCATTTTTTAGAATAGCTGCTCCAGTTAACAGAGATTGAACTAGAATGGAGGTAGCATGATCTATCCAGCATCAGAACACATTAAAGTAGACAGAGTACAGGAAATCAGGAAGTATGATGGGAGGCCAGCAATGGAACTCCATCTCTTATAGGTAAGCCATCTGAACTGAGAGTCAAGAGACAAAGGTTCTATTCCAGGTTCATCCACTAACTAGTCTCTAGGGAAGGCAACTAGTGTTAGTTTCTTCATCTGTACAATTTAAAAGTTGATATCTGGGGCTATTTCTAGTCCTGAAATTATGTGATTCTAAAACTCTGGAGTGGGTTTTAATTGGTTAAATATTGTCCACAGTTTCGTCTACTAAAGAGGAATGTGTTGTAATGCTGAGTAAGACACCACCCAAATGTCTGGGTTTTGGCAAAGGAGGATGGCAGAGAGGCAGCTCTGCTTCATTATTTGGCCTTTATGATACTTGTTATATCCTAAGAATGTCAAGCACCTGGCAGATAGAAAACAAATGTTAAAAACTCAGAAGAAAATTCAACTCATTTACTCATCTTTGTTCCTGGGACTCGACTGCTGTGCTTTCCATTACGATAGAGTAAGAAGTGAATGATGGAATTTATTTTTGAAATCTCAGAAGGAGTGCACATTTTAGTACTTTTAAAAATCTGTTAATGTTGTCCCTTTGCGTAACTCTAACTGGATTTAGATGGAAGACTGGCTTGCAATGTTGGATATTCTAAGTTGCCAATAATTTGTACAGAGCCTGTGATTGCAAAACCACAAAAATTTCACAATAGCGGAAACCTCTAATTAACCAAAATAAGTGGCGGGGTGGATTTGTTTTAAATATATGGTTAATAATGCTTATTGCTTTAAGATCATAAACTGAGAGATTCTTTATTGAGCTGAGATAGGGAGGCTGCAGATAGTTTTGCAAAATCCTTTTCCACATCTGTGTGTCAAGTCTGACCCAGAACATTCTACTAATATTGGATCAAACTTTCCTCTGATGTAACTTGCCTGTGGGAATTGTATTGGCTGTGAAACCGGCTCCCCTTAGTAACTGGTGTAAAAAAAAAAAAAAATTTTTTTTTTAAATCACAATTCTGTGGTTTGTTTTGAATGACTGAAGCCAGGTTCCTAGGCCCTGAGACAAGAAAGAATGTCAAATGGGACCTTTAATGTGTATTTATATTTAAACATCAGACCTAACAGAAAACCCTGAAGCTTTATACAATGATTGGAGCCTTGTAAGAACCTAATTAATGTATCTTCGGGTGAATGGTTGGCCTGGCACGCGAGCTGTCCCGAGGTACTCGAGGGGGTTCAGGTACTGCCTGGGAAGAATAGATGTGGTTGTAGTGATTCAGTGGCCCCTCTGAAAGGGACATGTAAAGGCAGCTTTGTCTGGCATGCCGCCTTTTCAGACTCATCTGATAATGCTAGTGTCAGTTTCAACTGAAGCGTGGGCCAGATTGCAGATAGCTTGAGCTGGCATTTCAAAGCAGTTAATTGTGAAACTTGAGAAGAGAATGGGCACATTCTTCCTAAGGTGGCTATTCACATGCAGTCTCTCCCCCCCGCCAACCAGAGCTCCAGTCTCACTTTTGTTCAGTTTCCACATAAAATAAATGAGGAACCCTGAGCCTTTCCCTTGGTGGCTCCTATATCACTGTCTTTGCTGGGACTGCTTTGCCTTGTTAAAATGTGCCCCGTGTATTAAAATGAAATTGTCACTGCTGGGTGGTGCAGCATAACATGGTTTGACACTAAGCACCAGCAGCTACAGAAAACAGACTTTTATTGCATTTATTCTTTCAGAGAGGAGAGTCTCTAAAGGCTCAGTGTAGACATTCACTTAGTTAAATCTGAATGAAGCCAAAGTGAACAATCTATGCCGCTGTCTTTGTGTTCCTAGAAACAGCCCCCATCCAGCTTGATATGGATGTAAAATAGTCTTAAAAAAAGATGATCATACTTAGAATCCAAGAGGGAAGACTTGAGGCTTTCAATCCAGAGCAAAAATAGTTTAGGTGGGTAGAGTTGGTGAGCCACCTGATTTTCTACTTTAGCTTCTTCTGTATTTCCTAAAACACATATAGAATCAACAAGCACGTGCGCACACGCGTGCACACACACACACACACCCCAGTCTAGTTTTAGTCTTCATTTAGAATTCCATGTCATTTTAAGACAAAGAGAAAGGATTTGATTTGTAGGACTCTTGCAAGCAAGCTTTAGATTCTTAACTGCCTTTTATCTAGATGAGTATCCAGAGAGAGATTGAACAAGGAGGGGGGCTCTGGGGCATAAGCTTTTCATTCTGTAGCTCTCCTGGAATAAAAATTCCATAAAGTGACATCTGTAGCAATTAAGGGCTTACATTTCCTCTCCCATTCATGTCTCTGATAGGAGGGAAGGTTATTGTCCCTAAGAGACAATAGATAGTAGATCCTGTGGGAAGACAGAGAACAGAATTAGAATTCTTTTGTTCCTAGAAATGCAAGTTTCCTACTTCAAAATAATAATAATAATAATAATAATAATAACAGGTTGGAAGATTTACTGTAAAGGATTCCATGGAAAGAAAAACTTGAAGGAGTTAGGAAAATTGTACTTAGCTATTCCTAAATATTTGGAATGGAGAAAGATTCATCTTGCCTTTCTAGCCCAAATATCTTCTGATTTGGAGGAACTTGTGATTAAGCAGTGAACAAAATGCTCTCTTTGTTTTTATTTTTATTTATTAAAATTGTATGTTATTAAGCTTAAACAGGTGTGGTTGTTTTTTCCCCCCACATTTGCATATAAAATTGATTCATTCTTTACATGTTTTTCAAAATAACACCTATGTCGATCCACTGGGCCATTTGATAAATGAATAACAACCTATTGGTTTCCTGCACTTTCTTGCCATAGCAGGACCAGTGACATAATTTGTGGGACCCAGTGAAAGATAAAAATGCAGGACCCTTATTAGAAAATCATTAAGAATTTCAAGATGGTGCCAGCAGAGTTTTGAACCAAGTACAGACTTATTCTGTCTGTGGCTCTGTCCTTCTGCACTGGTCTCATGCCAGGGAAGTCAGGTTTGCTTGGTAGGTAGAGATTTGCCATTTATATGTGTCTCTATACAGAAAGATGTGCCTCCATCCCATGCCTCATAGGAATATACATCAGAAAAGACCCTTTTTAAAAAAATATTGACTCAGAAAATAATGACAGCTCCCCCATTGGAACATGCTCCTGATACCATCTAGAATTTCTTAACCTGATAATTCAGGTGCCCTTGTCTGCATCTCTCAGCTTATCTTCAAGAGCACCCCAAACCCCTGTGAATCTCCCACACAGGCACAGCGTTCTGCTCACCTCAGCCCCTCTAAAAGGACACAGGGCCTGGTCAGCTCCCTGCCCTAATGACTTCTCTAAGGGCCCTTATGACCTCCTGTGCCCACTTCTCAGTGTTTCCCTGGTTTGTGGAATTCCTCTCACATTTGAATTCCTGTAGCTGTAATAAATGTGTAACTTATTTGGTGTTTGTTTACATATTTTCCCTTATCTTACTTCCTGTGCATGTAATAGGCTCCTGAAAACACACTTAAGATTTAGGTGTAGGGAAGTTTTATAATTTGAGTTAAAAGGCTCCATTCCAAGAAAGCTCATATTAATAACACAGCAGAAAATCCAAAATTATACTTTGCCTTTTAGACAAACTTCACACATTTCATACACATTCTTTAATATGTGTGTGAGCTGTTTTTTAAATTTGCATTTGCCTCTAGTGTACTGTTTGGGGGACTTAATTTCCTTTAATCAGAATCAGCCCTTTAATTTTTATCTTCCCCATCCAGTGTTATAAAATAAGGCCCTGGTATAGTTAATTATTTAGAGAATGTTGCCAATACTAGTCTACTTAGGATAGGGCAACACTACCAATGTTGACATTATGATGGTATAGTTCAGAATGTTCATTCATTAGCTTGCAAGTAAGATGCCAAAATTTGACCCAAGAAACCTAGTTTAGGAATATGGATATCTAGTATGAAAAAAAGAGAGGATTTCCAAAATTCAAAGTGAAGAAAGTTCAGGAGTTGAGGTTTATGTATTTATGTTCTCTGCTCACATTTGGGACCCCAAATAATTCTCTTTTGTACCTTCACCCAGTGGGTTTTCAATAAAAATGTCAAGGTGTTTGTGACAACACTACTATATTAATCATCACGTTAGACTGCACAAAGTGGAAATAACAGCACATCTCCTCAGCTTGTTTTGTGGAGTCCCTCAGCACAATAGCTTAGTAGTTACAGTTCGGCTTTGGTGTTAGACAAGCCTTAGTTAAAATCTCAACTCTGCCACTCATTGCCAAGGTCGTTCGTCTGTGTAAACCTCAGAGCCTTCCATGTAAAGGGCAACAAAACCTACCTTTCAGGTTTGCTAATTCAGACATGCAACAGATATTTATGGAGTACTTTCAAATGCCAGACAGTGTTTTGTGGATTAAGTAAGACAATGTCTCAGTATGACTTCTGGGAGAGGAATCAGCATAGAGCCGTCCACATAGGCAACTTTCAATGCAGTAAATAAATACCTACTCTAAGCAATGGTGAGTTTGTGATGTTTTGATCATGGTGGTCATGGCAACAGTTGACAAGTCTCGTAGAATTCTCAAATCAAGGTTTTCCATGGCTTTCCTATTTTCGTTTTCATTTTTATTTACTTTTCCTGAATATACACAACCTTAGGAAAGTATATGATCCCCTGTTTACCTCTTTTTCCAGAATGGAGTCTACTGAAAAATGTGAAGTGGTAATTCAACATTTTAATGGAAAATATCTGAAAACACCACCAGGCATCCCAGGTAAGAAATACCATTAAATAATCATTCATTTGTGTCTAAGCTGATTGCTATTATTAAAATGAGTACACGGTAAAGCCCTTGGTTGGTCACTGGGAATGAAAAAGTTACTTTTGTAATTGTGTGTTTTAAAATGATAAGTAGCAACTTATCTTTCTCAGAACTACCAAAAGCTTCTTGGTGATTCTTCTTTGGCCTTTCTTTTGACTCTGCTGCTGATTGTCTGAAGTGAATTGGAAGAGAAACAGCAAAGAATAGTTTAAAATGCACTTCAAGTGAAGGAAGTTCATGACTCCTGTTTCTATTTTATAATGTATCTATCTAAACAGTGATAGTCACAGTGAAGTACACTGATTGATGCCAGTTTCCAAACATGTCTTATCAGTCCATCACAAGAAGGGGACAGAGCATGAGAGGAAGCATTTAGAAATGTTTTTTGGGTTTTTGTTTGTTTTTTTTTTTTTGCATTTAGAAATTTTATAGCAATTTGACATTGCCATGAAATCTGAATGCATAATTTTGTATTTTTTAAAAAATATCAGTTACTGACATATTGATTTTTTTTTGTAAACTGTCCACTCATCAGAGATAGTTTGAGAAGCACCAATCTTGACTGTCCCATTTCACATTTCCCAAGGCAAAATCCTTAAACTTTTATACACATCATAAGATGATATAACTTTCTGCTATTAAAAACTACATTCAACATAAAGAATTGAATATATCACATGTGTCTGGACTTAAGCTGCAACGCCTCAACTTGCTATTAATCTGGTAGCAGTATATATGGCAAGTGTTTAATATTAAGTGAGTAGATTTAAAAATATATCTTACTCATTCATAAAAATACTCGAGATTGAATGAAGTGCTAAAAAGGAAGAATTATAATGAGTGGATAAAGAAATGTCTGACTAATCCATATTTGTTTATTGATTGTTCTTTCATTTTTGGAGATTCTCAGGGGACAAATATGACTTCTTCAGTCTTATATTTTCCTTTTGATTTTTTTAAGCTGGACTTCTATAGTGTTTGCTATGTAATGTGTCTGCTATTTAAAACACGTGGTTAGAGAGTTCAGGGGTTAAATATTTCAGTTCCTTAAAATGTATTGAGGCTACATAGAAGAGGAAATCTGAACAAAAAGAGAAATATTATTGTAGAAGGGTCAGGGTCCTTTTAGGACTCGGTTCATTTGGGGAGGTGTTGGGAAAGGAGAAAGGCCCTTCAGACACTCACTTAGATGATCTGGAAAATCCAAAGTAGCATCTCCTGGTTAATCAGAGAGTGCACACACATTGACGCCTGTGTCTCGATTTGGTTAGCTTCCATGCATAACGTTCCCTTGAGAACCGACTGCATTATGATCCAATTGGAGACATATGGTGTTGTTAAGAAAAGAGTTAGCAGTTTTCATCTCAGCATGTAAGCTGCCCTTGAATTTTAGGAGAAATACTTATTTTTTTTTCTTTTAGCATAAAAGACACTTTAAGACACTCTGCTCAGACCTATCATTGAATAAAGGGGTAGCATTATTAGAGGATTCTCCCCTTATTTATCCCATTTGATCCAACGGATGCCTGTCTATCTAGAAGGCATTCATACTAGGTGTGAATTAGATGGTTACATAAAAAAAAAATTAAGAATGAGCAAATTATGTAGAAATTATTGTTGATTAAAGTTATAATACATCTCAGGTTTTTTTTAGGTTTCTTCATTTTCAGAATAAGACATTGAAATCCTTCTTGACTTGATTGATTTGAAGCTGTACTATTTGGTTTTCACCATAGAACATAGCTGACTGATACAATTTAATGCTAAAGACAAAGAAAGTCACTACAAATCCCCAAACGTCTGGGCATTCTTCCTGAATACACAGACTGTGATATCAACCTGTCTAATATCATAGCTACACCCAATGGAAACATTGTGAATAGCAAGAACCTGGTTATGAGTTTCTCACTTTTATCTCATGGGAACCCAAGAAGCAAAATAATTATGCTCAGTTATAGACTCTTAAGAGATATAAGTTTATGCTTCTGAGATTTGTACTCAATGTAATAGAACTAAATACATGATATTGATCATCATTGTTACTTGAATTTGCTTATTTATGCAATGCAAATCAAACAGAGTCAAATGTTAACAGAAGATATTTCATCTTTAAGTTTTATATGGAATAAAATAGGATATAATGCAAGATGTGGGTATTTTGGTAAGTCCAGTAATAAAACGCCCTCACTGAGTTGATTCACGAAGTCAGAATGGGTATGATCAAATATGAGTGTATGCTGTTTGCCCTTATTGGTCCTCACTGCTTATTTATTGTAGATGATTGAAGTGTTATTTTCAACCACTCATATCTTAATCCAATTCTCTATTCCAACTTGAAGACTGCAGGTGGGATGTCACTATAGGCCCTGATATCAAATTGAAAATGATTCCTTTGATATTTTCAAAAAAAATCACCAATTTCCTAACTTTTTCAATCCTAATGTAGCTTTAGAGAGACTGTCCTTGCTTGTGGGTATACTAATTAAAAGCAACTATAATTGATCTGACCCCCCTACAACTAAAATAGGATTCAAAAAAAATTATAAAATCTCAGTGTTCTACATTATCAAGATTCAGCATCTTTGAATTCAGTTTGCAGTTTTCTGGAACTCACATTGATGGTTTCAATATAATGCTTTAAGGTCGTGTGATTGATGGCCCCACAATGATCCAATAATGACCTGAGATTCTCAGGCCCTAAGAAAGCTGTAGAAAAGATTGCACGTTAAGTCAATCATCTTCTTATACTAGACCCCGGCTTTTATCTTACGCTAAGCAAGTAGAGAACAATTAGTACCCAATTTGCATTCTTTACTTCTCCATTTAGGGATGACTTGGGGGAAATGTGCACGTGTCACTGGGCAAATATAGTGCCATTTTGGTTTCTGTCACTTTTGACAAATGATTTCTCTTAAAGGAGTTGCAAAGTTAATTATTTCCCTGAGATGATCATCTAGTTTCCAAATCCCATACTGTGTCATTTCTATATAAGAATAAGAAAAAACATCTAATTCAACCCAAAGCTTTGGCATTGCTCTGAATTTCAAATTAAAAAAAAAAAACAACATTATAGTTAAGGATATTTGCAAGGACATGTAACATTGACAACATTTATGTTGCTGCTTCCATTTTGATTTGTTAGTCTAGCAACAATTTTTTCACTAAATATAATTCATGATGGTATTTAATCTTGATTCCTGCTGACAGATTATGTGAGTTGGAAGGAAACTTTGTAGATATCTTCGTTTGGTTCATGCTTTCTCTGGACTCCTCCTTTTTGTTCGTGAAAGATCTAATTTTAATGAATACATAATGGATCGTTAATGTGTATTAGAGCCTCCAGAACTAGTTCTGTTCACTTTGGATTATAACGTTGTCCCCAGATTTTGGTTACCTGGATCAATGAGGCTAAATATACATGCCAAAAAAATAAAGTTATTTGAATTCTGGTATATATGGTATGGGATCAGGCAGCTATGTTACTACTAGCAGGTGGGAAGGAGAGGCCAGCGTCAATCATGTAGCCATCTACAGGAAGCAATCATCTAGTATTTTCTCCCTCCCCTAGAGGGAAAAGAAAACACAGTGTTCCATAAATGTTGCATGTCCTACATATCAATCTTGATGTTTTCTGGACAAAATGAAGGATCATTAGTTGCTTGCCTGCCTAACCCCAGACATTTCTTTGTCCCATAATGAATTGCACAGCGATGTTGTACAGCCCCAAAGCATTTCATTTTCAAACCTCTGGCAAAAGCAAAGGGTAAGTTCCCAGACACTTCAGGGATCTGTAGGGCATGAACTTGAAAGGTTCACTTCCAAAGAGCCCCTGGAGCAGAGTGATGCACCATGTAGAAAAGGCTTCCACATGTAAGGACATGTATTGATGAACGGATCACGCAGGCTAGTTTGTAGAAAAATAAATCACGTTTTGCTCTCAAACTAGACATGTGCCTGTATACACATTTTCCTATCAATGGAGCAGTCTTTCCAGAAGAAAATGGAATAACCCACTTTTAGTATGATTTTCTTACTCTTGAGGTAATATCTAATCCCAGTTGAACTTCAAAAAAAGTAGGGAAGGGTAGGGAGAGACCTCACCATATTTTGAGATGTTTCTAATTTTAACAAATCTGTGATCAACAGAAATGTAGACAACTAAGTAAGTGATAGAGGAATCATACTTTTCTAATAAATAAAATAAAACTGTGTGCCTTATTGATGCTTTGACACACAATCTTTCTATTGTGTGTTTATGAAAATAAAAATGTGTATGATTGTGGGTATATACATATATACTTCTTGTTAGTATGCGAGGAAAAATATTTAAGTCTGGTACTTCTTTAGAGAACATGAAAAGAAATGTTGTTTGTTTACCTCTAAACTTACCAGAGTAAAATATCAACAATGTACTTAAATGACATTTATATTTAATTAAAGACATGGTACAAAATTCTGAATGTTTGGCAATAGTATACAAATTTGTATCAGTGGACACTGTTGCAGTCCCTCACAATCAGTGTTTCCTCAGGGATAGCTGTCTATTAAGTCCACAAATGTAACAAATGTAGTAGAGTATAAGGCAACGAATAGAAAAGTGTTACGGTATACAGCTTAGCAAAAATATATTTTTTTATGGTTTTACTTGATTGAAGCATTGCCTAACTCTTGAGTTTTTCATCTTTGGGAAACTAGAACATCGTTTGCATAAGAAACTTTGTAAATACTACAATCCCCAACTGAGTGTCAGTTTAGATTTCTCATTAATAAGAGGGTTTTTGCAAAATTCAGGAGCTACTTTCTGTGAAGCCTCTCATTTTTAATGTTAGTGATGCCTTCTTAATTATTTCAAGGTACCAAATACATAGTTGCTTCATAATGAAACACTGTTGGGATATTATTAGTGAACTTCACAGAGTAGCCTGGCAATTTCATAGTCAATAGAGTCTTAG